CTTTGCTTAAAATGGCTGTAATTCCTAAATGGTAAATGCCGTATTTTTGTGGAACCTCTTAAAATAAAGCTGAAAGTCTACACTTCGATCACATATTGAAATTTAAAATCCACATTTAAAATCCATTGTGGGGGTGTATAAAGGCAAAAATCACAAAAACTCTGTCACTGTCCAAATACTTCCAGACCTGACTGTATATTACACACAAATTAGTTTAGATAGATAGATAGATAGATAGATAGATAGATAGATAGATCACACAGAGAGACAGACAGAGCAAGAGACAGACACTTCCTCCATAAGAATAAGATGTTTGGAAGGGTTTCACAAAAAGAATTGGAATTGTGCGTCAAATGAGTCCAAATTTTTGGCCATGAATACCATCAACATAACTAGTGTATACATGCTACACACACAGCCAATGGAAAATATGCTTTGGGGTGTTTGTGGCTGGCAGACCGGCAAGGATGATGGCATCATCAATTCAGTTAATATCACAATATTTTAGCCCAAAACCTGGTTGCCTCTGCCAGGAGGTTCAAACTTTGCTGTGGAAAGGTATTTCAATGAAATAATGACAACAAGCATATCACAGAAATGGTTGAAGGTATGTTACATTTAAAAAAAATAAAAATAAAATAAATAAATAAAAATAATGTTTTGCGATGAAGTGAAAAACTGGTTTGCACTAAAGAGTACAGTCTGGAGAATATAAAGGGGTGGAGGAGTGCTCCAAGATCCCTCTACAACCGTCTTCTCTGTTAAGGCTGGTTTATACTTCCGTCCTGACGCATATTTGCGTTGCGACAGAGAGGGGGTTCATGGGTAAGCTTGGTGTGAAGGGCTGCACTGTGACAGGCTGATGTGCTGTCCTCCAAAATCAGTGCGTCATGTGTATCTACAGCGATGCTTATCTTTCCGGTGACTGCTGATAGGCAGGAAGGCGTGTCCGGTCGCGCACTCGGAAACATGACACTGTGACCCTCTTCCATGGCTTCCGTTAAGGGTTTCCAATATAATTCTTTCAGCTGACTGCAAACCTGGCATCCGATATGACCATAGCACTATAATGAGCATAAGGCATCAGAAAGTAACAAAAACTGTATTTATATAGTCAGATATATATAAAACATAGCTGACGATGGACTTATGCTGCATTCGACTAAAAGACATAAATCATAATTCTAACCCTCCGACCAGGAAAAACCAAAGAAAACATCCCCTCAACTCGGAATTCCTACTCAGGAACTCGGGATGGTCTCCTCAAATCCGAGTTCCTCCAACTTCAGCAAGTGATGTCAAATCAGCATGGCTGCACGCAGCATTAGCAGTAAAACGGACTGTGGTGGCATTTCCACTTCCGAGGTAAGTCGAATGCAGCATTATCCAAAAATCCTGTTTCACATGTTCACAAACACATCAACGAAGAAATACAAGCCAGCCCTTAGACGTTACAAAAAGAGGCTCAGGGCTGTTATTCCCTCCATGGGAGGCTTTACCAAATGTTAATTGTAGGGGTGCTGAAGCCGGGGTTTTGCAGAATTTCATGAATGAAGAAAACTTTAATATAACGTTGATATCGGTCATTTTTTTTAGAAAAAAAGAGAAAGGTAAAGGGCAATGATTCTCAACTGAACTGTACAGTATTATTAGTATCTTCAGTTTTACTCCTATTTGGGCGTTTTAAACACTCGCCCTCACCCCCTCCTTTGTATCTACCTACACTACGCAAAGCAAACTTGTATCTACACTGATTCGCTCTGCATACGCTCGTCTGCCATGATCATACACAAGTTTGGAATAAGGACCAACATAGTTTCCAGAATACAGTACTAACAGTCACTGAGGTCACTGACGTGTGTTACTGTGAAAATTCAAAATGATGTGAATGACCGAAACCTGAAACATGATTGCCTCGACTTGATTGGGGGTGTGTTTGAAGGAGTGAAGTGGAGGGATGACGATCCTCCACGTGGTCCTGCAATAGGATTTATGGATGAGGGTGAGGCAGCAGGGGATGCTGGGTACCGACCTGTGGGGGACTGGGGCAGGCGGGACATGCGGCTGCCTGAACTGTGCAGATTAGCCTCCATGCTGCGGCTGTTTCTCACTGCCTCCAGCGAGCGCAGGCTGGTGCGTGGGGCCAAGTTAGGCATGCTGTGTCTTAACTCCTCTGAAACCCACACACACACACACACACACACACACACACACACACACACACCAGCTGTCACCTCTCAGATTTGCTGTAAAAGGAAAATGGCTACATGCTGTCACCTTTCCTTTCATGACAGTGCAGGATGGAATGATGTCCTGTAAGAAATCACACTCAGCTTCAGGAAGTGAACTACTCTGTGTAATTTTTTATTTTTTTGCATTATTTTTGGTCGATGCTGCCTGCTCAACTGAGCTGCAGAACAATGCAGAAATGCCATGTGTTCTGGATATTCGGACTGACAACCGCTGACAAAAAAAATAAATGGTGGACGTGGTACACAAAATGTAAAATAATCTAGTTATTTATGTAATTATCTGGTCATTTCTTGAGCGCCGTCTCCGTGTTCTCTGCGCTCAGGTGATTTCTGAGACCTCTACGCTCACTTGGCTCAGCTTTGTTCACCTTTTCCCATCAGCATATTTCTAACGATGAGTGAAAGCACTTTACGAGAATGTTTTCTGCCTTATGCACCCCACGTTCTTGCTTTTTGGTTCGTTTAATTATTGTTGATATCTTTTTTTTTTTAATAATTACAAACTAACTAAGCAGCTGATGTGATATTAGAGTTTGTATTTAATCTTTTGTACTTAATCTTTAAAATGTTAGATTTTTTTTCAATTTCTTTCTCTTTTTCAGTGTGAATTTAATAAATAAATCTTTTTTTTTTTTTTTAAATATAAAAAAAAATAGCAGCAGTCTTTTTTTAATGGGACACTACCATCACCCACTCCTAATGCACAGTACTAAACAAACCAAACCAAAAAGCAAACAAACCATCCAAATTCAGTCTATTTACCGAGTCTGAGTTAGAGCTAATGGATGTGGAATGTTCCTGAGTTTTCCAGGCTAATCCCTGCCTTCTCCCTATCTAAACTCTTCTTTTCTATGTACACGGAAATGTGATGACAGTGTTATCCGTGATGATTGGACATACTCTACAGATGTCGTAGAAGGGGATTAGACTGAAAGACGCTGCAGTATGCCGTTAAGTCAACACAAGGCACATCTGACAATATACGGTCTTAAAGTTATATAAAAGAATCCATTTTACGGAAGCCTCTCTCTCGTTCATGCACGTTTTCACACAAAGTATTCATGTTAATGCCTTGTAACATCAAGCCCCAGCCACTTTAAGCATTACGCAAATATCTGCCAGGCTTAAAATATACACCAGGTGATTGTAAGTGAAATGCTGGGTCGCATCCTACCCTCACTCCGAGTAAATTTGAGGAGCTCTGGCGCCGTGCCCTGAAGGGAGCGCCTGGGCACACGTGTGCCAGCAGCAGGTGATGGACAGCGAGGTGAGGTGCCAGGAGAAGGCGAGTGACGGCGGTGGATGTGTGTGTACGGCATGCTGTCTGCCTCTTCATCCTCCAAGCTGTAGGAGTCCAGCTCCTGATCACTGTAGGTGCCTCGCTTCAACGAGTGCAGCGAGGCCGCAGAGCTCCGCCGTGATGCCGAGGCCGAGCTCGAAGCATAGTCTTGCCTCAGACCTACAAACACAAAACTGTGGATATTAACCAAAACACACTACAGGTGGGCAGAAAATCTGGAGGCCATCTGGAGCCACAACCGGGCCACGGAGCTGAATATGGGCATGTAAATTAATGGTGGTGGTGTGGAAGAACTTGAGGAGGTAGGGGAGAAAAAAAAAAGTAGATTTTGGATCAGCTGCAGTGGTCAAATTAATGGCATTAAAACTGCCTAATATTTCCAGGGCCGCTACATCAAAATGGATGAAGGTGGAGTTTCTACATTTCTCATAAACTCTGTGTGAACTGAAACGATTTTGATGTTTTGTGCATCAAAACACGGTCTTGAGAGAAAATGATAATAAGCTTCCCCATCCCTTTCAGTGTCATGCAAATATACAGAAATATACTCCCAGCCCGTGCTTCTAAAATGAAAAGGACATTTAAACAACCACACCAGCATTTACATTTGTCATGTAGTGATAGTGGTACACTATGATCTGCCAGTGATCCTGCAATCCTGCACACACACACTATAACATGTTAATACATCACTGATTAATTATTTACTTTGAAGCCTTTTTTAGGTTCAGGTTTCTAAGCTGTAGGAATAAGCGCTTTAACAGAAAGGGTCACCGATATCTTTCATAAAAGATGAGAACAAATCAAGTACAAATACACTCACTCTCCTCTTGTAGCCGAGCCATGATCTGCACGTCTGTCAGGTCCTGCAGCTTGTAGCCCATTGAGATGGAATCGTCTGACGTGCTCAGCTCGCTGTCGATGGAGGACTGGGAGCTCAGCGCTGAGTGCATGCTCTTGTAACCTACAAATCACAAAAGATGCAGGAGAAGAAGAAGGAGGCCTGTAATTACTCTCCGTCATGCGTCGTGTCAAGACCTCATTCAGTTCCATTCAAACAAACATCTCGGTTTCAGGTGCGCCGAACTCGAACTCTCCCCACTCTTACACGCACCAGTGAAGCGCTTTGAAAATCACAAACTCGTGCTTCTACATGCAGTAGCGCTCTCTTCATGACAGTTTGGAAAAAACACATTTAAGTAGCTGTGCATCTACTATGGTAAAGTATGATGCAGATTTCATCATCTTGTTCTTGTATCCTGTTATATAATAACTCTAGCAATGTGGGTTACAAACTGAGGGATATTTATACAGGAAACTAAGGCGGTAAACAAGGAGAGTTTGATCGGCTTGGCATGGCTCGTCATTGTCTGCGGGGAATTCTAGCATCTTTCATACTAGCCTTATTCCATTAATTATTAAACATTAAACAGTTCATATTTCTAGGGTCCCTGGATGACTAGTGGTTAGGCCACAGCGCTCTCACCATTGCAGCCCAGGTTCCATTCCCGGCCAGGGAACCAACCATGGCCAACAAGGAGATGTGTGTGTGTGCGCAACAGTGCGCTCTCAGTGCCAGTAACAAGCCCGGATAAAAGTTGTGGAAGGGTTGCATCAGAAAGGGCATCCGGCGTAAAAACTGCGCCGAATCAAATACACGGACCAATGAACAGCTGCGGTGACCACTAACGGGAGCAGCCGGAAGAGGAACAGTTAATATTAATATATATCTCTTTTATGAAAATAAATTAAAAAAAATTCACCAACTCATGACTGAAAATTGGAATCCAGACTTGCCAAAAGAGATTAGAATCAAAGTGCACCATTGCTCTTTTTCTTGCCAGTAAAGCGAATGCAGTTGAGACACGTCCGGAGTGGTCTTGATGCGACATGTCTGGTGTAAGTGCATACGCGCTGATCACGACACCATAACGACAGACAGGGAATAAAATCAAACAAACCAGGATGAGGATCAGTCAACCCTGGAGAACGTTTGCAGAAATCACAGCACCATGCTTAGTCCTCACTTACCTCGTTAACGGTTATAAATTTAAGCATGTGTCTGAGGTTATGCAATGATGGCCAGTGGTTTTCCAAAGGCCAACTGATTTAACTAAATGACCGAAAACAATATTAACGGTTTGAAAGCTTTTAAAGCAGAAATCAGTGGTTCCCGAAGTCGAGTCTGAGCTGAATCAGATGACTGCATTAAGACTACATAGGAACCCCGGCTTCCCCTAAGATTTCATTAAAAACGCAGCAACGAGTTGTTTAACAGTGTGTTTATATGATTAATCAATCTTAGTGGAATTCAACATTTTATCCGATCAAATGATCAAATATCTGACTGCGGTATCGTGCTGTTCATTCATTAAAGTCAAACTCTTTCTGGTGAACAGCACAGCCTGCGTGAAAATGGCCCCAACGCAGAGCTAATACACACTCAGGATAGCCAGTGCATCAGTTAGTGTCTGTTAGGTGTTTGCTGAATCAGTGGGATGAAAGATTAACGCTCATTGGACAACAGGCTTTTAACACGACGTTCTGAGTTCTGCACACACACACACACACACACACACACACACACACACACACACACACACACACACACACACACACACACACAAACACACACACAAACACACACACACACACACAAACACACACACACACACACACACACACACACACACACACACACACACAAACAATTCTCACTGTTTATTGGACAGTGTGCTCTTTGTTTGTCCCGCCTGAATGCCTGGCTTCTCCTTATGCTGATTGGTAGACCTTTCAAAGGGGCGGAACTTCATAACCAGTAGCCAATCAGTGAATCGGGAATGAACACGGCTGACACTTGTGTAGACTTGTGTAAAGTGCCTGGGCCAGACACAATACATTATCAGAGTGTGCTGATTACTACAGAGTTTCCACTTCACTCAAGTGAGCAGTGAGACACAGGGCGGCGAATACTCGGATGGGGTGAAGCCTTTACGTGGAAGTTGCCTGTCTCAGGGAGATTTAAATGGCCTTCATGTGCATTGAGACAACTGCACTGTCACTACTGGAAGTGTGACTTGCTGAAGCAAATAGCAAGCAATAACAGAACATGGTATTTAATATACTTTGCCAGCATTTGTTTTTTTTTTTTAATTTATGACGCATTAGCATATAGAATATATTAAAGTTCCTAACATTTCCAATGTCTATTTTAAACTAAGGGGTTTTTTTTAAACACCAAATGTCATTTCTTCAGCATGAAACTAAAAAGCAGATAACAGATATTACGCCCTAATCACCTGACATCCGTAAAAAGTTCATTCAAATGCTAACCTTTACTTGGCATTCTTTCTTCCTGTAAACACTAATTCGCATGCAAAGGCAATTAATCTGCACTCCTTCGCCACACACCTCATGCATGACATCTCAAATACACACAAATGGACGAAAAAAAAAAAACAAACCTTGGTAGCTATAATCTGACACCCATAAAGTTGCGTGTGTTTTTACAGTGAGAGAAACGGTGTTTAAAATGTAAGGTTTTACAAAAGCAGGAGCAGCGTTGTGTTAATGTCATGCCGTACCTGAGCTGCCACAGGTTAGTAGGTTTTTGTTAGTTGATTTGTGGTACCCAGGAGAGTGGGAGGAGCCAGCCTCGGCTGATGAGCCTGCGGACGTTTGCGACGGGCTGCTGTACATGTTCCTCCATCTCGAGCCTACGGGACAAACAAAAAGAGATGTGGTGTAAAATCTTGCAGCTGAATTAGCATTACATGGCCTTCAAGCACCACTGTTCATCATACACTCACCGGTCACTTTAATAGGAACACCGGTACACCTGCTCATTTATCCTATCAGCCAATCATGTGGCAGCAGCACAATGCATGAAATCGTGCAGATGCAGGTCAAGAGCTTCAGGTAATGTTCAAAAACATCGAAATGAGGAAAAGGTGTGATCTCTGTGACGTGGTTGCTGGTGCCAGATGGGCTGGTTTGAGTATTTCGGAAACTGCTGACCTCCAGGGAATTTCACGCACAGCAGTCTCTAGAGTTTACACAGAATGGTGCAAGAAAACAAAAAAAAACATCCTGTGTGTCGAGGGTCTGCAGCCTGAAACACCGTGTGTGGGCATTCTTGTGGTGTACAAGTGTTCCTAATAAAGTGGATGGTGAGTGTATTTAACCGTAATACATTATTGGCTCATGGCCAATTCTGTGTATCAGTTAAACAAAAGAGAACAGTACATCTAGGTAATGATGATTCTTTTCATTTAGAATGTTGAAAAACAGCCATCAGTCTGGTCCAAATGTAAACTATTCCAGTGTATTCTGTTGAATATACAAATGGAATAAATGGAGTAAAAATTCCTACTACATAATTTAATATCACCATTTTGGCACAACGAATTATTCACTTTCAGTCTCATCAGTTTTGCTTGTAAACGTATCGGCTGTGGAATTGTCTGTGATGCACCTGCGGCGTAAAATCGACCAAAAAAAAAAAAAACGATACACTCTTTGCAGATGACAGCAGACAAAGTGTTAAAAATGTTTGAATGCCCTACTTAAAAATGAGAATTTAGCCAATAGAAGAAAACTCACTGAATTAATCAGAGATTCCTTTCACAGTGGCTGTGAAAGAGCAGACGGGGATCGGGCAAGCGAAGAGAAGATGATGGGCGACTTTTGAAGTAGATGACGCTCATGATCAAGGTCATTACACACTTCCCGTTATAAACCTCTATAAAGTCTCACTAACGTCGTATTTCCATAAATAGATTAATATAGAGAGAGGCAGGTGGGGGCATTCACCTTCTGTAGCCTGTCAGCTTTGAATATTCAGGTATTAAGAACTCTAAAAATCATTTATGATGTAAATATAACGATTTCTAATAATCTACGAAGTAGTTTGCCCTTTTTATATAAAGCATATTATTATTAAACTTGGAATGACTACTCGATGTGTAGGACTACTGAGTAGCCATCAGGCTATGAACAAAGACTGATATAAAGATAGCCAGCACAATAATTTATCATCTGTAAGTTTATAGCAATTGAAATTGGAATGGAATCAATAAATACAATTTTAACCAGAGACACGCACACATAAGGTTATCCCTTATGATCTGTTCCTGGGAAACTTGACATTTTTCGCACAAGTTGAACAAAATTGTAAATGATCTTGCGGCGAAACTTTAATTCCAAGCTCGGCTTCTTATATGCAAACTGCGTTTCATTTTCGAAATCCTATTTATACTGCTGATGTTATGTGCTACTCGTTGACCTGCGAGAAACCAAATTCATTTGGTTCTTTGTAAATGTGAAACAAGAAGCCCCTGTTCCATATCCCTTCATACGTATTTACTTTTCGACACATACACAGTAATGCACCAGATCGAGTGACTGTGTACACATCCTCGGGTGCATAATGCATACTTTGATCCAGACGGCTCAGAAGCGTCCTGCAAGCCACCTCGGTCTCAGGACTCGGGTGATCAAGCACCTTCCGGCACCATTTCAGAGGAGACTCTGGGCCCTGCTCCGTCTGTACCTGCTTCTTCGGGGATACATACAACCTACAGAAATTAGAGAGAGAGAGAGAGAGAGAGAGAGAGAGAGAGAGAGAGAGAATGTTTAATATGTTCATCCTTTGACAAATTTGTCCCAATCTCCCAGTCTCCAATCTGACAGGACAAAGTAGACTGTGTTATAGATAATGGAAAAGTATTCATGTCACATATGGGTGTGATGGTCAGGTGTCTACAAACTTTTGGACATATAGAATCAATCATTTTATTTGCCATACATATTTACATGTAATAGGAAGTTTTCTTGGTGTTCGGCCACAACGCGATACATTCAACACTGTCTACTTCACACACATCACAGATAATTCAACACTCAACACGATTACCATCCTAACATGCAACTAGCAGGCATGTACCTCAGGGTGAGACAGAGACAGAGGCGTGTAGAGCAAGGAGTCACACCTTCGTAATTTCTCTCAATAAAGCACATGAAGAAAACAGAAACGTGCAGCCAGCCGTGATGGCCAAGATAGCTCGTGTTCACCAGCAGACAGCCGATGAGGTCATGCTTTTCACACACTTTCCTGTTGGAGTAAAACTACGCCAGTGATATGGAGGACAAGCTGAAAAGCCAGTATCTCAGGAGTCAGAGTTTGTCTCAGTTTACTGATGATCAGCGTTTTTCACGGCGATCGCTTACCACTCCAACTCGAATAAGTTCCCATGGTATACAAGACATTCACGCCTCACAGACCTTACTATGGAAAAATACAAGAACAATAATGAAAACTGCTCAGATTGAATGGGGGAAAAAAACAAAAACAAATTAGTCATCTATTGACAGACGCTTCCACACAAAACACAATGTGTTTAGTGAATCTTATACCACAGGGTTTTACATTCTGATTGGTCAGAAGGTGTGGATTAATTTTCCATAACAGCAGTTCTGACAGTAGCTCCTGGCTGCAGGGTAAATCACGAGTTTCTATTAA